AGCCTATTTTCGGGTGGCTGCTGCTGTTAAAGTGGTACAGGATGTGCTGCTCATGGGCTTAAAGAAAAAACACCCGTGGATGCTCCTTCCACATTCTCTTCAATGTAAGTGGTGTTTTTCACTTGTCTCATGCAGACAGCCGCCAACACACTTTCATGCCCCGTCTATGCCCATTAATAAAAATCCTCATTTGAAGACAGTGAGAACCGATGGTTACATTTCCCCACAGCCAACGACTAAAGGATAATGACATTTGTTCCTCAAAAATCATTTGTACAGAAGGCAGATCGGAGAAGATGATCTGCTTGGCTGGACAATAAGAAGGCGTTAATCCACTTTTCATGTGAACAGTTGAAACGCTAGCTTTATGTCAACCGGCATAACCACTGTGTTTAACAGGAAAATGCATTATGGTTTTCTGACTGGGACACCAGAAACTTCCCTGATTTGGTAATGATCCCTTGGAGCTGAGTTGGAGGCATTAACAAGGATGTGGAGGAAATAGCCAGAGGCTGTCCTTTCTGAAGCACACTTGCAACTTGGGGTTCAGTAGGACTCTTCCATTGGCCGTGTCTCATTGTACAAGACATTTACATGTCTTTGTGCATTCTGTTTTCATTCTTATGTCTCTTTCAGAAATCACATCTCTCTCCTAAAGACCAACACATCTTCCTCCAGAAGCCTCCCTTAGTGCATGACCTGCCCTCACTTTACTTGATCATTTTAGGAATTTAACTCTTTCAATCCCTGTGTGTTGTTTGTACCAGTGCTGCGCTCAGAGAGGGGAGCCACCCGTCAGTTACTCCATTAATATTGAGGAAGGGTCATAATTTCTTTCTACCAGAACTTCAGTTTCAAATCCATTTCATCCAGAAGACACTCGATAAGTTCAGGTGAAGTGGAAAAGCTCACTCAATAACTCAAATGACTTCCTGTCGAACAAGTTAGTATAATGGAAAATTGCAAATATAACACAGGCCAGGGTTTGGTTCAGTCCCCACCACTTCCTCCTCTTCTGATCTTTCATAGTTTGCTCAGTTTCTTTCTGTGACCGAGGACTCAGCCTGAAGACATGCGAGATGACAGACTCTCTCCAAATGGTTACTAGCCAATCCACTTACACTTCTGAGATAAACTTCACTCCTGTCTGCTCGGCTAGATCTTACTATGAACCACAGTCTGCTGTGAACTCCTGTTCACCCGGCCTCAGCTTCTGAGTGCTGGGTTATAGGCATCTCCCACTAAGCCTGGCTGCCCCCAGAAAGAGATTTGAGAAATATAAAAAGGGTCCATGTGCACTGGTTATTGAATCAAGAGAGTTGTCATAAAATTATAGCTATTAGAGGCAGGTAAAAATGTGTTCTACACCTTAGCGATCAGGAAAATGCAGATCAAAACCACCTCAGCTCAGTCAGAATGATCATCATCAGAAGTCTAAACATCAAATGCTAGAGTCAATGTGGGGGAGAGAGAGCCCTTGCATGCTGTTGGTAGGAGTGTAAACTAGTACAGCCTCTATGGAAATCAGTCTGGAGTCATTTCTGGGCATACTGGAGGATTTTATACTGCACGACAGAGACACATGATCATCTATGCTCATCGCTAGATAGCTGTTTATAATAGCTAGGAAATGGAATCAAAGCAGATGTCCATCAACCGATGAAGAGATGAAAACGTGGTGTATATGAGATATATAAGCAATGGAATTATTACTCGGCTGTGAAGAAGCTAGGAAACCTGAAGGTGTCACATGAAGGACTTCTAGTCCACTTCCTGGCAGCAGCTCTTGTTCTGCTCTGAACCATCATGGACTCACCATCTACATTTCTATTGGCATTATGTCCTTCCCTCCAGAACAGTCCACTAAGCCCTGATTGCAGCACTGAAGGATTTTTCTACCCTAAATTCGAGACTCTTCCACCGTTCCTATAAGCCCGTTCCAAAGGCCTAAGAAGCACGTGGTCAGGTTTATCACAGCAGCTGTTTTGCTTCCTGGTACTGACTCTCTGTCCTAGTTAATTTTCTTGTGCTGCAACAAACGCCTGGCACAGGCAACTTGTGTTTTTGTTTGTGTAAGGTTTTGGTTTTGCTTATGGCTTGGGGGTGCGGTCCATCATGGAGAAGACGGCATGGCAGCAGGGTCTCACAGCATCCCTACTCAGGAAGCAGAGACTGAGGAGCGCAGATGCTCAGCATGCATTCTAAAATCTCCAGCCCACATCTGAGGTGAGTCTACCCACTTGAGCTAGCCCAGCCTACAAACCCTCTCAGGCATTCCCAGAGCTTTACATACAAGGTGTCTCTACAGTCTATCAAGTTATCGGGATACGCCACCATAGTATCCAAACAAATTCTTCAGCAGAATTTCATTCTCTCTCTCTCTCTCTCTCTCTCTCCCCCCCCCCCCCTCTCTCCACAAATTAGTTTCTGCAAGTGTCTAAAGAAGCCTGGAATTTAGTAATGCCCAGAGATAAGATCTGGTACACTGCAGAATTTAGCTGATCAGAATAGATTTGTAGCATTTGTTCAGCGGTTTACAAGGGCTGGCAATGTAGCTCAATTCCAGAGCAGCTACCAACCACGCATAAAGCTCTACGTTCAATACCTACCACCCAAGAAAATGATAAGTAAAAACAACAAAACAGAATGGATGATCTTGTTCCATAGAACAACCCTGTGTCTATGTAAGGCACCCTACAAGACTGATGGGCTGATTAAAACTTTACTGACATGGGAAATAGGATGTTACAGGTCCAGAGCCATGTTACAGAGCTGTGTTTAACCTCCCCAACAGTCACTATTCTGTACTTCTGTGTTTGACCTAGCATCCCTACGGACTATCAGGCAAATTCTTTTTGTAATGTGCAAAAAGACCGCCTAACTTCCACCAACTGACTGAAAGACTAATAATGTTATCAAGTCTCACCTGAGGCCTATAACAGAGACGTCTTTTTCTGTGACACTTCTACCCGCCCACCTGATGTTTTCACCAATGTATTTTAAAATGCTCTGATTCATAGCTCTTTGTTCTGTTAGTATAAAAACTTCACAAGGGATTGTGGAGATGGCTCAGTCAATAAAGTGCTTGCCTTGCAAGCATGAGGACACAAGTTTGATTCCCAGAACCCAAGTTAGAAAGAAAGAAAGAAAGAAAGAAAGAAAGAAAGAAAGAAAGAAAGAAAGA